CATGTGTTTATTGACGATTTGGAAAAATGTCTATTCAAATATTTTGTCTATTTTTAAATTGTTGGGTTTTTATTGTTGAGTTGTAGGATTTCTTTACATATCCTACATAGTAACTCCATATATATTATGCAAATAATTTCTTCTATTCAGTTTTCACCCTATTGATAGGTGTGCTCCCTTTAAAAGAGCTAAATCATCTCAAAAACCAAAATCCCCCAACTCACATGGCAATTCTAAAACACTCTCAGAATATATTTTAGGATGACACAGGAAGTTAAGTAAAAGGAAATTCAGACTAGTCACATTCTGTTCCTCTCTTTCATAGTTTCACTTTTCTAAGGAAAATTCAGGGTTACACAATATGAACTTCTTGGAAAGGGGCAGGCCTAATAGGGTTGTGGGCTAAAATGATATACACAGATACACACACTACAAAAGAGAGGATGTGTAGAGAACAGCAATCTATCAGACATTTACTTAGTACTTGTTCTGATCTGTTCTAAACAATTTTAAATCCTCAAAACCATATATCAACAGTAAGATTATTTCCATTTGTTGGATGAAGAAATAGAGGACCAGGGCCTCCCTGGTGGCACAAGGGGTTAAGAATCGCACTATGAAGAATTCCCCAGCTTCTGCAGCATGAGTTCAATCCCTGACCGGCCAGGGAGCTACCCACATGGAGCAGAAGACCTCTCCTATCTTACTTGCTGCTCCCCTCAGCAGTGTATTTCAGTCAATCTGCCTGTTCTGCTCCCCACTCTGTCTCTGGTGTATCCTCTCACCTCCCACGTCTCTGGCCTCTACCCCAGCTCTTGTAGGCATAAATAAATAAATCTCGGGCCTCCCCAGTGGCGCAGCGGTTGAGCGCTGGGTTGAAAAGCTGCCCACAGCATCTGCAGCGCTGGTTCGATCCCCGGCTGCTCCCCGGCCACTGGGGGAGGGTCCCGCATGGTGCACAGACCTCTCCTGCCGCCCGCTGTTCCCCTCAGCAGTGTACTTCAGTCCTTCTGCCTGCTCTGCAACCTGCTCTGGCTCTGGTGAATTCTGTCACCCTCCCGCGCTTCTGACTGTACCCAGTGTTTGTATAAATATAAATAAATAAATAAAAAATATTTAAATAAATAAATAAATCTTTAAAAAAAAGAAAGAAAGAAAGAAATAGAGGACCAGAGAGGTTAATAGTCTGCCCCAAATCACAGAGTAGGTAAAGCCAGAAATTGAATCCTGACAATATGGCTTCTGTGGTGTCTTTTTTTAAATTATCTATTTTTTTCCGCTTATTTTTTGTTTTGTTTTGTTCTTTTTTGTTCAATGGCCTCTTTATTGACTTTTGTAACACTGCACACGCAGGCTTTGGAGTCAGAATTATCTGAATTCAAACTCAAATGACTAACAAGTATGTATTTACAAACCCATTGGTAATTTAAGAGAAAGTCAAACTAAAAACAAGATTTTACTTCAAACCTTCCAGCAATTTGAAAGCTAAACAGTGCCAAATATGGGTGGGGATTTGCGGAAGTAGAAACTCTTGCATAAGTAGCTTCCCTGTGCGGGCTAGATTCTGACTAAGGAATAATCCTACCAATGGCAGCTTCCTACTACTGGTGACACTTGTTTTCTTGTCTGGAAGATGAAGGACATGGACTTCCACATCCCACACCACAAAGGCTGTCTGCAGAGGAAGTCAGTATGGAGGAATGGAAAGCACAAGGCCTTGGGAGCCAGACTGACCTGTTGTTCACCGGGCGGCCTTAGGGATCACTTCTCTAAGACTCTGTTTTCTGTGAGGTGACCAAGGCAGGCCTCACGGAGACGGGAACATTTGAACACAGCCTTGAAGGGGGTAAGGGCAGAAATTACATGGATTCTTGGGGGAAAGTAATTCAGGCAGAGGGAAGAGTCTTTTCTATTTCTAGGTAGTGATGTGGTGTTTCCCTCACAGCACCAGGCACACCTAAGTGGTCAGTAACTGTTCAGTGCACCCCTCCCCCTCCTCTTACAGAGATGTCAAGATCCAGGTCACCTCTGTACACTTTCTAGCTTCACGACAATGCCATTCTGGCTTCAGATGTCCTTCATGGCATTTCACATACACCACACACCACGGGCTTGCCTCATCCCTAACTGACCACACCAGCCTCAGCCTGCATGAGGAGTAAAGAGCCCTCAAAGAGGAAACTGCAATCAGCAAGATGGAGGCACTCCAGCTGCCTTTTTTCTTTCTCAAGAGACCCCTACCCAAACACACACCAAGCTTAGACAGAGTCTAGAGGGTCTTGGGTAAGGGTAGAGTCACATGGCAGGAGGAGAGAAGGGAAGAGACCCATATGAGTGTAGGCAGGTCTGGGCTTGAATATTATTCTACCACCGACTAGCTCTTTGACGTTTACTAATCACTGAACCCTCTTACTTCCCCACCTGTAAAATGGGCATGAAAATATCCATCTATAGAGTGGTTGTGAGGACCAAATCAAATGTGTGAAAGTAGCGAGTAAATTGCTGGGAGGCAACATAAAGTAGGTCCCTTTCCTTCTGTTTCAAGTTCCTGGGAGGGCACCACTGTCTTATTCAGTGAGTTTGGGCCTTTATTTCACTAATTCTTTAAGGATAGAATCATCCACCTTTGGGAGAGGGTGTGAGGTTTCAGTAAGATAACAGCTAAAAGCTGTGCTAAGTTACTGGAACAAAATAGATACACAAGAGTGTTTGTTGGCTGAATGGATGGATGGATATGTGGAAAGATGAATTACTGGCAGGGCATGAAGGGAAACATGACTTATATCACAAAAATACCAAGTCTGCATTAAAAAAACAGGTGATTTACAAGAGGATTTTATCATATTTGTTTGTGATTTTAGGTCCCAAGCACAGATATAACATGGTTGAATAAAAGCAGGCACAAACACGCCCAGCTTTAGTCAACTATGACCTTCACTTAGTCATCTTGATGAGGCGAGGGTCTTGGCCCAGCCAGTATTTCTCAAGCTGAGATCACCGGTGATTCCTTGGAGTGATGGCTGATATCAGAGGAGGCACAGGGGAAGCCCTTGATTCCCAAGATGGCATGGAAATTCTGATTGCTGATGTTTCATTGAAAGAATTTCAAGTCAGCTTTCCTGCAATCTTGACGCCGTTGTAAGAAGGGAGAGACACAGGTCCACAGCCAGTCTGCGTTTATTGCAATGCCACATCATAGTGTCCACAATTACCTAGCCCCTCTGAATCCCACGTTCCCCTTAGTGAGAGGAAAAGATTCAACCCTCCCAGCTCCGAAACATTCTGATTTTCTGCAAATCCCTGACATCTTCCCTTAAAATAGGGACACATATTGTTAGAAGAATATGTGTGAAATTTCTTCCCATCTGTCACTAAAGAGTCTCCTTAAAAACCCTTCAAAATAAGTACATGTGTATGTCAATGTCTGTCTGTATGCTACCCTGGGGAAGTAGCAAGCTTTAGAAACAGATCTCAATTCCAGTCTTTGTGTCAGAAACTGGAGATACATCGATGATTAAGATTCACTTCCTGCCCCAGGACAGGCGAGACAGATTCTGAAATGGGCACATTTTAATAACCATAGTCATTAAGGAGTTAAAAAGTTGGACCTTCCTAGTCCTAAAATGCTTCCAGGAGGAAGCCAATTACCCTGTCCAGAGGAATTCAGGAAGACTGCCTATAGAAGGTGTTATGGAAAAGAGAAAGAGCCTCTGAGGTCACAACCAGGCATGACCAGAGGTCACAGGAGGAGTAAAGGTAGCTGCATCTTAGTGGCGGGGAGATCAGCAGGCCTGAAGCATGGGTTTCACCTAAGATACTCCTCTTTGGGCCATGGGGGGATTGAGACCCTGGCCTGTGTGTTGGGGCAACATTTAGGAAGAAGAAAGGGGTCAATCTGGGCACTAACAGACTAAAGTTTTACTGAGCACTTACTGGATGCAGACCCTGTCACCTCACATGAATCCCAGCTGCATTTCCTGAAGTGTGCCTAGCAATCTGAGGTCCTGAGACAGGACCCCTAAAACATTTTATTTTAATACTTATGTTTATGTTTACCTCCTAGGTGTGGCAGGTATCTTCAATATTCAAGTATAATTGAGTTCTAAAGGATCCTTTAAAATGGATTTAAGTTTTAAAAAGGGACTCAATTTAAAGAAAAAATTTATTAAATAAACATACAGATGGTGCATGGATATTGCAAAAATTGTGAGGCGTATACACTGAAATCCAAGAAACACTGTGCTTTAGCGTATGAACATTTATCTCATTCAGGGTTCTTTTGGTTGTAATAGATACCCACTCAAATCAGCTGATACAAAGTAAGAAATATATCCTAACAAGGAAATCTCACAGGATTCAAAGGAAGGGGTACAGATATTGAGCTTTGAGAAGGGTTTGGTCTGGGGGAGGAGAGTCAACAGCATCCCACCACCAAAACCACCAGATTCCTGTGGCCAAGCCCCTCCTGTCTCTGCTTTTCTGTGTCCATGTCCATCTCCATTCTGAGCAGAGCCATTGTCTGCTATGTTCATAGCAGGTGGCCATTCTCTCCCCACCCCCCTCACGCCACAGACAGACCCACACCTGACACACTCACAGCTCCAGAGTTTTTATGTCTTAGGTATGTGACCTGCAGAGCTTAAAGTAGCACCCCTGGATGTTGCTGCTAATTCCTGAGAGAACATGACGGACCAGATGCTCATCTGTCATCCATTCGATCTGTCTGGGAGAACAGAGAGGAGCAAATTCACAATGAAAGGGGAGAACTTGGGGTGAGCCATCCCAATGATCAAGAGGCACCTGCCTCGACATTCACAGTTCATAACAACCCTATGAGGTAGGAAGTTACAGTCATAGGCCTGTGACAAGAAATGACAAAGCTAAGACTTGAACCTGGGTCTGTGTGACACCCAAGCTCATGGACACTGCTCTGCCCACCTGGCCACCATCAGCTAAGTCCAGTCCACAGCTGCCATCCCAGACCCCAGCAGGTGGCTGGCCAGTTGGGAGGCATTTATCAAAATCTACCCAGTAGGCAGGAAATAAGGATCCTATCTTTATGGGGACACTGGCTGGAACAGAGGAAGTTTTCTTAGGAGAACAGACCAAGGAGGCTCATCCAAGCCCCACAGTCTGAAGCTTCTAATCCACCCTGTGGATGCCAAACTCCGGCTCCAAGAAGGCTCACTTGAATACATTTGCTGAAAATCATCTAGAGAGCCTCAAGTGGAGCTGACACCTCTCTTCTGCACCCAGAATTCAAAGTGTCTGACTGCTCCTCCCATATCCTGGAAGCTAAGTTAGGAGGGGTCCCCAGAATGCAGGGCAAGGGTGGAGGGGCCTGGCAGCCCCTCCTACACACAGGCATGTCTCAGCCTAAGTAGCCATTCCATGGAAGCCTCAGGACATGGTGGTGCCCTGTGTGGCTTAAATTTGCCCACCCATGGGGAGTAGCTGCCCCACAGGAGGTACTTTCTTGGGGTCTACTGTGGAGACAAATGGATGCAGTGGTTGTGTTTCTCCTGCTCGCCCAGAGCTGACCCAAGCCTGACGTGAAGCCTGTGCAGAGACACATCGGCCTTGGGCAATAAACTCCGCATCTCAGTTTCAGGTCTATGTACGTTTTATCTACTCTGCTCAGCCATCACTCAGAACGGGTTATTGGCTTAAGTTGGGAGAAAGTTCCACCTGTCACTTCCCCTAAGATGTGTCACAAAGACCTTGTGCCTATGGGTGGCACCATCCGAGCTCAAGAGTCTGCCCCAAAGGTACTGCCACAAAGCCAGGAAAGAGTCCTTTTCCTAAGCCCACACCCCCCTGCCTTGATCACTTGGGAGTGGTTGCCCAAAGCTTAAGGTCACACTCATTTGGGGCAGCTGCCCTGGTGGGGCAGACTGGGTGACTCAAAGGCCCTGCCCCTAGCCCGGTGGCCCTGACATTCCTCCCAGAACTAGCAGACTCAAGGTGAGGACACCAGCCAAGTTTATTAAGCTATGTTCCTACTGGTGGCTGAAGGGGATCTGCAAGTTATGGATTTTCCAGCAGTCTGGCTCTGCTCATCCCTGCCTTGGTGAGGTAACCTCCATTCCTGATGGGCCACCTGGGCCCAGAGGGGAGGTGTCCAGACCACAGTAAATCCCCCTTCTTTCCCCAGGTTAGTCTGTGATGTCCATGGAGGAGAAGCCTTTGGTCTGGCCCCCAACCACCAGGGAGACTAATTTTTGAGTCCCATGACCACTTCCGTGCCTGTCTCTGAGGTGGCCCGGGAACATTTCTGGCTGCTGCGCATGCTATAGAACTTTTCAGTGAGGTGCCTACGGAATTTCTTGGTGAGGAAACAGTAGATGATGGGGTCTAAGACACAGTTGGTGCTAAGGAGGCAGAGGGTGACCTGGTGTGCATCGTTAATAGCCTGATGGAAGTCGTTGTTCTGGAAGCCAAGCTCAGCCAGGGTCCAGGGCAGCTGCACCATGTGGTGGGGCACAAAGCAGATGATGAACACAGCCAAGACTGTGCAGACCATCCACAGCGCCCTGCGCTTGACCTCTACATTCTGTCGCAGCCGCGTAGGCTGTTTGAGCAGCCTGCGGATGATGACCAGGTTGCAGAAGAGGATGATGAGGAAGACGAGGAAGAAGCAGAACACAAGGAAGATGTGGATGACAAGGACTGGAATGCTCCTCGGCTCATAATGCTCAAAACAGCGGGTGATGTTGCCTGTGCCGTCTTTGCTGGGTACCAAGTTGGTGGAGTCCAGGAAGAAGAAGTAGGACGCAGCAGCCACAATGGCCACCCAGATGACCACAGACAAAGTGATACCACGCTTGCGGGTCGTGGCCTGGGCAGTCTTGATGGGCTGTGTCACTGCCTGGAAGCGGTTGTAAGTGATGACGCCCAGGAAGGCCACAGAGCAGTAGGTGTTGATGAAGAAGAAACAGCCAGCCAGATTACACAGGAATTTGGGGAGAATCCAGTTGCCCTGGTTGTGATAGTAGATGATCCACAGGGGCAAGGTGACCAAGAAGAGCAGGTCAGCCAAGGTGAGGTTCACCATGAAGATCTTTATCTCACTGAGTTTCTTAGAAGGGTACAGGCGGGCAAAGACCCACAGCACGTAACTGTTGGCAATGACCCCCAGCACAAAGATGATGCTGTAAGCAATTGGGAAGAGGGTGTACCTGAACTCAGAGTCCACACGAGAGAAATCATTTGATTCCATTGCTCTGAACTAGATGAGGCAGCAGACTGTAGGGTCTTCCCTGTGCCTGAAAGACCACATGGGAAAGTTAATGAAGCAGTTAATGAAGGACTGAATTCATCAGTTCCAAGAATATCATGTTGCACATTTTAAAAACTCCAGAATCAATGACATCTTCCAATTAAGTGGCAGTTTTTTTCCCCGTTTTATATAAAACAACAGTGTTTCTATAATGAATGATATCAGAGAGTCAATGAAATTAATGGCAGTTCAGTTTCTTTTCTTCCATTACAATAAGATGCCTTCTTATTCTTTGGCTTAATTTTTTTTAAGATTTATTTTATTATTTTTTTAAAAAGATTTATTTATTTATTTATTTATTTATTTATTTATACAAGCACTGGGTACAGTCAGAAGCGCGGGAGGGTGAGAGAATTCACCAGAGCCAGAGCAGGGAGCAGAGCAGGCAGAAGGACCGAAGTACACTGCTGAGGGGAGCAGCGGGCGGCAGGAGAAGTCTGTGCGCCATGTGGGACCCTCCTCCTGTGGCCGGGGAGCAGCCGGGGATCCAACCGGCACTGCAGAGGCTGCGGGCAGCTTGGCAACCCAGTGCTCAACCGCTGTGCCACCGGGGAGGCCCAAGATTTATTTTATTTATTTATACATACAAGAACTGGGGTATAGGCCAGAGGTGCCGGGGAGGGGGGGCGGTGAGAAGATTCACCAGAGACAGAGTGGGGGGCAGAACAGGCAGATCGACTGTTTAATATAATATAATGTAATTTAAAAAGAAAAGCATACAGTGGAGAAATCTAGTAGACAATATTTTAACCAAGTGATTGAAATTAATGATTGAGATCATCATTAATAAGATATGACAGGGCCTCCCTGGTAGAGCAGGGGTTAAAGACAGAACTATCATCCTGGCAGGCCAGGGAACTGATTCACATGGCTCAGCAGACCTCTCTTGTCTCGCCTGCTGCTCCCCTCAGCAGTGTATTTCAGTAGATCTGCCTGTTCTGCTCCCCAACTCTGGTGAACCTTCTTACCCCTTGCACCTCTGGCCTACACCCCAGTTCTTATATGCATAAATAAATAAATCTTTTTAAAAAAAAATTTAAAAAAAGGATATAACAGCAGCTTCTATCCCTCTATAGTGTGCTGAGGACACAACATCACTTCCGTGGTGTTTTTGCTCCAAATGCACAATCTCAATTAGTCATGAGAAAACATCAGCCAAACCCAGGTTGTTAGATATTCTACAAAATGACTGCTGGGTGCTGATTACCAAGTCATGAACGACAAGGCAACTGTCTTAGATTAGAGGAGACTAAGGAGACACACACCAGCCAAATGTGGGGTCCTGGGTATCCTGGAGAATCCTTGTATCATGGAGCAGAAACCATTACTGGGAAAATGGGCTATTTCAAATGAAATTTAGTTAATCTCATTTCAACGTTCATTCCTGGTTTTGATCATTGTATTACAGTGTTAATTGTTCACATTAGGGAAGGTTGGATGAAGGGCATACATCAACCCTTTCTACTATTCTGCAACTTTTTCAAAGCCTTAAAATTATTTCAAAGCCAAATTTTATAGGAAAATGTATTAGAGAAGATTAAAACTTCTCATAATACCACTACCCAAAGTCTGGTCTATTCTTAGCATTTTCTCCTGCCATCCACTCTCCATCAGAACCAGCTGCTTCCTCCCCTTTCTTCTTGTTCCTCCCACTATGTTGCCATCACATGAGGCCAGAAGCCCTGTATTGTTTGTGTTGCTATGGGCACTACTCAGCAAAGCTGCTGGAGGAGATGGCAAGAGATTCAGAGGGAATTGAGGCCTGAGGCTCATCATCTATCATAATGCAGTGAGAAGAGCACAAAACTGGGAATAAGAAACAATAAAGACAATTAACAGAAGCACCTCTCTGGAGCTAGACTTCCTACTAGGAGCTTCCACATGCACTATCTTATTTGAGTGTCACAAAAGCCCTCTATGATAGAAAGTATAAACTTCATTTTATAAAATAGGAAATGAGTACAGGGTAGATTTATAAGCTGTCCAAAGCCACACAGGTCTTAAGGAATGGAACCAGGATCTCAGCTCTGTGTTCATTTGTTCATTCACTGATTCATCCAATAAATATTTCTGAGCACCAACTGCATAGGCGTTAAGACTCACAGTAAGGGCCTCTCTGGTGGCCTAGGGATTAAGTCTCAGAGCTATCATGGCTGCAGCCTGAGTTCGATCGTGGCCCCAGAGCTAACTCACATGGTGCAGCAGACCTCTCCTGTCTCGCCTGCTGCTCCCCTCATCAGTGTATTTCAGTAGATCCGCCTGCTCTGCTCCCCACTCTGTCACTGGTGAATCTGCTCACATACACACACATGTCTGGCCTACACCCCAGTACTTCTATGCAAGAATAATTTTTTTTTAATGACCAAATTATTTTTTAAAAAAAGACGGTTAAGCATGAGAGACATAAAGCAAGCACAACCAATAGAAACTTAGCCTTGTGGATAAGACAGACAAAAGCAGAGTTGCTTTACAAAGAAGATAGAGGGCTGATATAAGAATGAGAAAGAGATCTGCTTAAAAAGGAGGTGACTGCAATTGAGGCCTGAAAAAGGAACAGAGGAAGTGTTCCAGGCAGAAGGATCTTCACGGGTCTAGGACTCAGACAGGAAGTGTTTGGTAGTTTTCAGGAACTGAAAAAGACCACGGATGTCCTTTATCTTGACCTCTGGCTGCCACCCCACCCACATCTCATGCCACCTTCCCACCAACCTCCAGCCAAGAGAGAATTCCCAAGTGGATCTTCAACCTTCTCAGACCTTTCCTGCCTCTACCTGTCCCACAGCCATGCCCTGGCCCCTACCCACACCGACTTCCAACTGGCCATCTCCAAATTGTGCTGCAGATCTTAGCTGAATTTCACTTCTACAAAAAGGTTTTCACTAGCCCCTGGGGAAGGCCATGTCTCATCTCAGAGCTCCCTGTTCTCCTTCATCAATCTTAGTACACTTGTAATCATATTGGTATTTGTGAGATTGTCTAACATTCTCCCACGTGACAGTGAGACCAGAGGACAAGGACCTTCTGTCTGTTTTTCAGATTGGGGTATCTGGCAGATCTTTCCTCAAATATGAATAAAGTAAACCTGTCCTTTCAAGAAAAACAAATGATAGTATTTATTGACAAGGATAAAATTTGAACTTTCAAGAGAAAATTCAAATTTTTGGAAAACTTGTATCTGCCAGCATGAACTTGACAGCTTTCTAACTCTTGAAGAATTTTCTGATGAGATTGGTAGTGATAATAATGAATGAAATTTTTTTTTTATTTTTTTTTTTGAGGCATGTTTTATTTATTTGTTTGTTTGTTGGTTTTTGTTTACACAAGCACTGGGTACAGTCAGAAGCGCAGGAGGGTGAGAGAATTCACCAGAGCCAGGGCGGGGAGCAGAGCAGGCAGAAGGACCGAAGTACACTGCTGAGGGGAGCAGCGGACGGCAGGAGAGGTTTGCGCGCCATGTGGGACCCTCCTCCGGTGGCCGGGGAGTGGCCGGGGATTGAACCGGCACCGCCGAGGCCATAGGCAGCTTCGCAACCCAGCGCTCAACCGCTGCACCACCGGGGAGGCCCTGAAATTTTTTATTTTATAATGAAAGATTGATACTTGGAAAACCTGCATCACTCAGTGTACAAATATTTTCCAAATGAGAAGGCATGATGTTTGAAAATTTTGCAGAGGAAAAAAGCAAAATAGACAAAATCATTGTACTGCAACAGATTACAAAAGTGCATTGTTAAGATTCAGGTTCTCACTGCAGTCACCATTTGTGAACTTTGATGTAATATCAAAGAAGAGGATCACAAATTATCTGAGAGAGCCATTAAAATAATACTCCCTTATAAATACTTATCTGTGTGAGGGCAGATTTTCTTCACATACACCAAAGAAACATTATAACAGATTAAATGCAGAAATAAATATAGGAATCCAGCGTCTTCTATTAAATGCAACATTAAAGAGATTTGCAAAAAAAGTAAATTAATGCTACTCTTCTCCCTAAATTGCTTATATTTTAAAAATAGTTACTTTTCACTAAAAAATCATTATTTATGTTAACAGAGAGTTTATTGTTGGTTTCAAAGACAAAAATTTTGAAAATGTCTGTTTTAATTTTGACCACAGTAAATATTAATAGATAGAACCCGTGTAAACAAAAGTTCTCTGGAAACCCTAATGATTTTCAGGAAAATAAAGAAACCGGAAGATTTGAAATTGATGCTGCACAATCTCAGTCACCCCATCCAAGCCCCTTTCCTTTGAGCCCCAGATGCTCACTCATTGGGACAGGCTTTGTTTCTTTCTCCTGCTGAGTCCTGGGAAGACCCTGTTCCTGGGGACTTGAACAGAGTGGGAGGCAACCCTAGTTGGGCAGTGCCTGGCGCTCAATTCTGGGTCTTTGGGGAAGTCACAATTTTATCTGGTCCCCACTCAGGAAATCCCTTTCTCTGCTTGTGTTTAGACTTTAGCACAGTCAAGTGGAGGCAACTATCTTCTGGAAATTGTTTTTCTCCAGCCAGAGGGATCAACTCAGGGCCCCCTGAGCCATGCCTGCCCAGGCCTATTGAGGAAGTCTTCCCCCGAGGACTATGACCAGCATGAGACTTGGGAGGTGCTTACTGTATGCAAAATTTAATGGGCCACCAAAAATCTCAGTAACTAAGGTACATAATATTTTTTTTTTGTGGGACCCTCCCTGGCGGTGGGGGAACGAACCGGCGCCGCAAAGGCTGCAGGCAGCCTCGCAGCCCAGCGCTCAACCACTGCGCCACCAGGGGAGGCCCCTGGTACATAATATTTTAATGCAATATTTTTTTTAAAAAATCAAAATCAGTGTTATTGAGTCTTACTGAGCCCAACACTACGGTCCTGTCTTCATTTAAAATTTTGGTATTTTGCTCTTCATGAATTTTTCTGGCATTACAAATAAATCCTCACTTACCATCCTCAATAGATTCATAGAAACTGAGACTTTAAATGAACCCATGCTTA